CTGGATATCTGACCACCCTTTCATTAGGACTTGAGTATGCTGAACCTTCTTACGGTATTGGCCAGTCCTGTAATTGCTCTACAAACACACATGGCAGTTCTTGAATTGCTCGAATTGGTCAGTGTGCCCATGGCATGTAAAACAGTGACGGTGACGGTTTTGGAATGTGGACACTAGTAGCTTTGCCCGAGCTGTGTATGTGCTGGCAGAATAATGATACACGATCAGGCCCTCAGATTCACTTTAAGGGTCGTATACCCATCAGTGTCCCCTTGTGTGTAAACACTGATTGACAGTGTTACCAAGAAAAAAAGGCTGAAATGACAGTGTTGTCCTAATTTAGAGTCTGATCCATCAGGGTTTCAAAATTAAAAAAGCTGTAGCTATTAAACGTCCTGGTTTTAAGCACAGGAAGACAGTAGCTTCCTTCCTACCTAGAACAGACTAGCTGCTCTTATCTAATAGGGGTCATGCGTCCTTCAGCATCGGAATCAAAGTCTTCATCATCACTCCCCTGCACCTTGGGTTCTTCCCACTCCTCAAGTGCCTCCTTTCCCCTGCCACTTCCCTCCCCCTCTCTTGCTGCAGGTGTTGCTGCTGCTGTTGCTGCTGCCACATTTCCAAATGGCCGGCGCTTCTTGTAGCTGCGCCAGATGTTCACCAGTTCGTTGTAGTCGGACTCGTAGTCGAGGAGCGACATTGTGACGAGATCTTCAAGCCGTGCGTCTTTGAGGCTCCCACGCTGCCATGACTTGATGATATTCTGGCGGGAAAACCCGCGCTCACATTCCACTGTGCTCAGCGGAAGCACTGCGACTGCCACCCAGAGATGCACGAGGTTGGGGTAGCTAGTCGTCCAGTCACTTGTCTTCAGCATCGCTGTTAGACCGGCGTGGAAGCTTCGCTCGTTCTTCGGGGCACCTGCGAGGATGGGGCAGAAGGCACGCAGTTCTTTGATCGCCCGCCGTTTGTCGATCCCTGCCACATAACACAGAAGGGGGGTTGTCAGTTAGCTTGGATGGCGTGGCATGGTATACCCGTGTACAGAAAGCACTGCTGAACCATATTATCAAAGAGACATAATGGACAACACGGGTTTAGAGTAAGCGTGTACCTGGAAGGATGTGATCACTCTCCTGTGCCCTGAACAGCGAGACGAGTGACATGAGCCACTCGAGACACTGTTTGTGGCGCTCCGTTCTCCCCGCCGTGTTGTACTCGTCTGGCATGAAGAGCCTCACTCCCACAAGGGAGTCCAAGTCTGCAAACCTGTTGCTGAGGTTTTTGACGAGCGTCTCGGCAAAAGTGGTGCAGAGGTCGACGCAGTTGTCGTGTGTTCCAAGTGTTGGGTAGTCCTCGCTTGGCTTCTCATGCAGATGGAACTTGAGTGTTGTCGGGCGACCGTCAGAGTCCACACCCTGCACCGTCACCTCGGGCTTGTCACTGTCAGGCCCGTACTTCTTGATGAACGGGGACAGGCGCGCGCTCAACCCGCCTCCAAAATCGTCACCGCAGTCGACGTAGCGGGTCTCCAGGTGAGACAAGTTCTCCTGATCTGCGCATGGACACCTGCGATGTCGAGCTATGAGAGGGGGACAGAGTATGCACAGAGCGACAAAAGGAAAGACAGCCAGATGGGTGATAGTTCAATCAATGCATGTTCTGCTTAAGCTGGAACAATGTCAACGCATTGACATAGACACACGGCACATTAAGGAGACGAATTGACACGAAAACTATAAGTAGAAATCAAGAGAGTTGCTGCAAAGTTTGAGAGGACTTGTGGCTCACCTCACACTGCTGGAACGACTTGTTCAAGATGTTCAGCTGCTCGAGCACGTCTGCAAGGAAGAACAGCAAGAAATGGAACCTGTAGCTGGTGGCGAGCTCGTACAGAGTTTCGTCCCACTCGTACAGCATGACGAGTAGCGCTGGGAAGACCGTCACCGTTCGCAAAACGGCATCACCCCTGCTCAGCCAGCGGACTTGATGGATGCCTTGAAGCTCCAGGTTCGTAGCAGTGAAGAGTTCCTGGAGCTCCAGAAATCGTTGGTGCCAGGGGCTGGAACGGCCGAGATACTCGGCCACTTGACGGATCAGCCCGTCCACCATGTCAAACTCGGGGATTGCCTCCGCTGCATCTTTTGCCGCGAGGGCCTCCCTGCAGGCACAACACAAGACAAACATGCCACGGTGGGGTTTAGGGTAAGTATGAACGAGATTCGGAAAGGCAAGGGTGCTGCGGGTACTTATGTGGAAAGTACCTGTGAGCAACGCAGTGGCTTGAGACGAGATGCGGTATGCGGATGCGCAGACGAGCGATAAGACCATTCTTGTGTCCCATCATCACACTCGCGCCATCGGTGCTCATTCCAGCGATCTTGCCAAGCTCGATGCCGAGGGCCTGTAGGTGGGACAGAAACACTGCGAGGAGAGAGGCGGCGTCGCACTTCTCCACGGTCAGCAACGCAAGGAATTCAGTGACGACGCGATTCTCACGGATGAACGTCGCGAAAATGATCAAGTGCTTTCCCCTGCACCTGTCCGTGCTCTCGTCACAGGTAACACCGATGAAAGGGCTTGTAAGGAGGTGCTGGAGTTGAGTTGTGTGCAACCACGTGGCAATCGCTTGTGTTAGTTGCCCAAATCCGTACCTGCGCGCAAGGTTAGTCAATGTTAGACATTACAAAATAGAGAATATAAGAGCAACAACACAAGCACAAGGTAACACCTAGTACCTTACGTTGTGTAGTAGGTTCCGTAACCTTTCGCAGGGAATCCCGGAACCTTCTTCGCGCCGAGATACCGAACAAGTTGCACCCATAACTCAATGGGTGCATCTTGCTTGGTAACAAAGAGCAGGGAGTCGCACAGCTCGATGACGCGCTCCCTCTCGGTGTCGCGAGCGAGGTTGTCAGCGTTGATCCGTGGCTGCCGACCAGCTTCAGCAAGAAGCTTCTCCTGGTGCTTGACCGCCTCCTTGTGCTTCGTGGTAGCTGCGTGTCGCTTGAAAGCTTGAGTCTGAACGTCCGAGGCACCCCTTCCACCCCTCCCGCACTTTCCTGCGTAACCTGCATGCTCGGTACAGATAGAGCATTTGAATGCTGGGAGACCATCACTTTGCCGCAAGAGGATGAGCCATGGAAACCTGTCTAGCCACTCGGTTTTGTACTTATACAGAGACTCGGCGTAAATCGAATCACGGGAAAATTGCTTAGAGGGACCAGGAACCGAAGGCGCCTCCTGCGGGCCGGCAATCACGGGCGACGATCGTTGGTCGGCTGGCGGAGGCGTGGTTGCACCGTCGTCAACACCCTTTGTCAACCAGGGTATCGTTGACTGCAGATAGCGGCCTGATTTTTTGCTAACGGCTTCGGGAGTCGGTTTTCCAGCTGGAGGCGGCGAGCTGTCCTGCTCCGTGACTGGCGCTGTCGGGGATGCACACCAGTCCTCCGGATCGATGTGCTCAAACGGGATTTTGTCGGGCGGATCTTGTTCTCGTGGCTTCTCGGTGTGGGCTACTTCCGCTATGCTAGAAAATAATAAATCAAGGCCGGTAACTGCATCAGAACGGACTACTTGCGGCTGGCGGTGCGAATCATCACCCTGTTCGCCGCTTGTTTCCGTGCCGTCAGGCGGTTCTAACATGGTAAGCAGCGGGGACGCCCTCCCCTCTAAGCTAGTAACGCGTGCAGAGCAGATGCGGGGGACTGCACAGGCAAAGACGAAGCCACGGCTGGCTGACTCTTGGTACACTAGGAAGAAAGGGGCAAACCTAGCTACGGATGCAAAGGTTGGAGAAGAAAGGGGTTGATGGCGGGAACGGTGCATGGGCTGGGCGGCGTGGAAGCCTTGACGGTTGGAAGGATGGCAGAGTGCTTGCCAGCACTGCCCGTTCCTAACGCGTCGCAGGTGATGGCAATGGGCCATGAACCTTGCCAGCCCTCCAGCACAGTAGCCAGCCCACGTTCGGATTGGCCAAGAGTTGATGCTGCAGTGACACGGCCCAATGGTGTGAGGCGCCGCGCCAAAAATACCTCCCAACGTGCACCTGTGGTAAAAAATCCCAGGTTGGACTCGCCACGCGGTGCGAAACTCGGCGGGAATCCGAGATTCCCTGTAATTGGGGTCGCATCCACACGATGCAGATAAGATTCGCTTTCAGTGTTCGGTTCGTTACAACGTCGTGGCATCAGTGTAACATCCAAAAAAAAAACTGAAATATCAGTGTGGCCTAAAACAAAAGCCTGGAAAATCAGTCCCAAAAAAATCTCAACACGGAGATTTCAGGGTAGGTTAAAAATGGGGTGCCAAAATCAGGAATTTCAGGAATTTTTTCCTGATATCTGAGGCCCTGTACACGATACTGGAACACATGTACTACCATTACGAGGCATAACGCTTAGGTACAATACGTTCAGGCTAGATATTAAACCTGGTCCTGGCCCTAAAATTGGAAGGCTTATACCAGGGCCCAGAATTATACCTAACCTGCCTGGTTACTGGATGCGCCATCAGCTACCTGTCATGCTGCATGCACCCTGCAGCATTTCCTCACTCTCTCCCCCCCACACCCCACCCCATCCTAATGCACGCACCAGAACATGACAAGTACAAACGCACATCCAGTCATCCCCCCCCACAACAACCACATGCACGCTTGTTCCTCACACACTCCTATCCCTGCCCAACCAACCCCACCCTCTCCTCCCCACCTCCACCATTCAAATACATCCTATTCGGAGTAAGATACCCCATCAACTCCACCTCCCTTGAGCATTTCGTTCCCCCTCCGTCTCTCTGAAGCATGCCCAGAGCCGAAAATCTTTCTGTTCCATACCACCACCTCATCCCCCGCTCCTACCCTCTGACCATCCTCTCCTCTTCTCTCCCCCATCCCCCCCCCCTCCTCCCCCTCTCCCTCCCCTGTCCCCTTCCTCCCCCTCACTCATCCACGTCCGCGCATTCCCACTTCCCCTCCCCGCGCCCCTTCCCCACGCTCACGCCTCGTCCTCCAGCGCCCCCCTGGTGCGCACGGCGGGCGCGGACGGCGCACGCTGCCCCGCAATGAGCGCGGTCTCGAGGTTCGCGGCGCGCTCCGCCGCCAGCTCCATCTTCTCGTAGCGCCCGCGCTGCAGCAGCTGCCAGATCAGCCACGCGCCCAGCACAAGCAGGAGAATAATCGGTATCGCGAGTCCGATCGCTAACCCGATTGTCAGGCCGCTTGACCCGCCGTTGTCGGCGGGGGTGGTTGCGGGCGGAGAAGGCGGAGTGGGGGTTGGCGGAGTTGGCGGGGACGGGGGGGGCGGAGGGGACGGCGGGGGAGGCGGTGGTGAAGGGAATGGGTTGGAGCCGATTGTGAGGGTAAATTCCCCAAGGGTGACGCTCTCGCATATAACTCGCGTGGTTGTGCTGTCCTGTGATTGGTTGAGAGGGATAAGCGCGCCGAGCAGGCCGAACGTAGTGCACTGAACGTAACCAGGCTGAGAGTCGTCGAAAGGAAATGTAACAGTTATTGGTAACGACGGGCTCGTTCGCACAAGCAGCGGCCCCGGAGCCTTCGTCGTGTCGTTAACGTACGGAAGGATGTCAACCCCGGCGAAATACGGCGAATAGGAGTAACTAGTCGGTGGTCTGTACGGCGCGAAGGTGACTGGAATCTGGTTATACAACAGCACGACGAGGTCCGGATTCGTGGAGACCTGGATTCCCGGCGGAATGAAAAACTCGTGGAAGAGAAACCCATTCGCGACGAGCGAAGAGAGTTTGAGCTTCACGAGTTGGAGAGTCATGTTGGTGAATGGCGGCTGCGGCAGGTCGACGATTTGGCCCAGCGCGGCCGTGCTCGCGCCTTTCATGGCGAGATTTTGGACGAACTGCTGGTAGATTCGCATGCGGATCGACTGGATTTTATCGGTTGTGATCTGATTCGCGGCGGCGAGGAAATCCGAGGCGGACATAGACGGCGCGCTGCCTTGAACCAGCTCGCCTGTGTCGTCAGGTAGCGACGTGAAGGGATCTTGAGATTCGAGTTGCGCATAGGAAGTGTTGAGGAGGAGGAGAAGAAAGAGAAATGTGCTGAAGTAACAACGGTCTAAACTGATCGTGCGGCACGTCATGTTATTGTAGTTAAGGCGCGGGAATGTTTGTCTACCTGCGACTATCTCCGTTTCGCAAAACCACTCTACTGCCTTTTCCAGGTCGGTTTGCACAGATGTAACGAGCGACGCTGGTTTAGAACGCAGATTACCGGGAATTTTGATGCTTATAGCTTACGCTAGGAAGAAAGTAGGAACTCCGAAACGTGTCTCCGAACTTCTTGGTAGAGGTAAAGGTGCTGCCTTGTCCTGCTTCAGGATGCGTAGGGTGGGTTGTCACACTAGCAGAAATAAATGGCGTGTGGAAGTGGATTTAGTTGATATCGCGCACATGTACGCTGGTCCAATGCGTTACGATACGTTCCTACACGGTACACAGCGGTTTTTCTTAAAACCGCTTGCGACCGTAACCAACACCTGAAACCAAACTTTCTGAAAGGGAAAGAGCAGCATGACGCGGGTGGAGACGACGAATGTTCAGTGAGCTTGAGTTTGCGAGCTTCAAGATTTTGGTAACTATGACTCACGAAAAGGCGTAACCAGCAAACACATCCGGACGAAATCTCATCCCATCATCCACGGTCCGTAGCACATCCGCACTTGGCTTCGCCAAACCTCGTGCGGCGTCGCATCAAACAGATCTCCCCCCAGACATCCGCGTCGAGCCGCTGGCATGACTGGGCAAACAGAGACACTGACGCCGGCTAACTGAGCAAGGCCCAGCTGGACGTCAGATGCTCACTGGCAAGTGGGAAGCGGCAAGACTGATGACGTGGCCAATGTGTTCCAGTGTTGAAGGCGGGAATTTGTCGAAGCGCAGACACCACCAGAAGCATCACCCCAGCCTGAAACCCGTGTGAAAGCGTAATTCGTTATAACTCGTGTAATCTTCTCTGTAGCGTTGAGATTTGAGTAATGTGGTAAAATACGATGGTTAGAGTGATGTAATAATGATTTACCATATTCTTCTCAGGTTAGCAGGAGCAGAGGAATTCATGAATGAACACACTGTTGTGATCTTCCTTTCTTCCGGTTGATGTAAAAAGGGAATTAAGGCAGGCACAACATGTACACAACAGGATAAGGAACAGGGCTAAACTATTGGCTGGATTATCACTAGCTATGTACAGGAAAAACAGAATGCGCACTTGGCATTGCAACCCACATAAACATATTCTCTTCTTTTCACTTCACTATACATCCTTTTCACCTATCGAGCGTCATCACGAGCCATCACTGCCATCAGCTTCAATAGCATCCTGATTTTCGGCCCCATTGTGTAATGCTGACATCAGCAACACCATGCACTGCTGTACGGCATGTGCTACATGCTTCAAGCACAGCCCACCCTCATCACCAGACGCATGAGCACATGGAGCTGTGGCAGCACCAGGGGTAGCACTACCACCACCAGCACCACCACCATCACCGCCATTAGCAGAAGGAACAGCAGCGGACGCAGCAGCAGCACCACCAGCAGCACCACTAGCAGCAGCATCAGCGGCAGCAAATGAGGTATGACCGCACCGCACTCGCCTCACAGCAGCTGTGGCCATGCTTGCCAGCTGGCGCACTGCTCGCTCCAGCTGGCCGCACGTGACTGGCGCAGCTGCACCGCCGCGTGACGTGGACAGGAGGGCTTGATGATGACTGCATGTGCGAGGGTCAGTGTCTGTGAGAGTGTGACTGTACAAAGGGTGCTGCTGCTGCTGCTGGTGATGCTCCTGATGGTGGCGCTGCTGCTGCAGCAGCAGGGGGCTATGTGTGGGGAGAGTGGGGTGCAGCAGCAGCAGGTGGGAGAGGCAGAGCTCGAGAGCTGTTTCAAGCAAGTGGAAGCACGCCGGTGGGGGCCGGACGGGGCTGTGGGACGGAGCGGTGCTGTGCAGTGCCTTGCGGTTGAGAGGTGTGCGAGTGACAGCACCCATGCCATCCCCACTGCGGTGGGGAGAGACACCCTCACCGTCGTCCCCACCACTGCCTTTACCCACCGTCTGGCCATCCCCTTCGACCCTTGCCTCTTGCTCTGCTCTTCCAGCTACCCCTCTTTCCTGCTCCCTCGTGCCCTCCTCATCCTCCTCCGCCCACCACTTGCCTGCTTCACGCGCCTCCTCGTTCCCTTCTTCATCCTCCTCCTCGCCCTCCTGCTCTCTCTCCTGCCCCTCCTCATGGCTACCCCCCTTTACACCTGCACGCCCACATCGCCCTTCATTGCCCATGCCAGTCCTGTCCCCATTCCCATCCTTCTCATCCTCGTCCCCCTTTTCACCCCCCTCCTCCTCTGCCTCCTGCTCCCTCTCATCTCCCTCCGCAAGGCTATCCGCCTCTGCACCTGCAAGGCCACATCGCCCTCCATTGCCCGTGCCAGTCCTGTCCCCATCCGCATCCTCACGCTCACCCTCATTACTCCCTCTCTCTGCAATATCTTCCCTTTCAGCACCACTGCCTGCCGCACCGCCTTCCACCTCCTCCTCAAGTATCACCTCTGGCGTTACAGTTACTCCTCCATCACCCTCTTGAGGCGCCTCAAAATTCGTCTCTTGAGGCGCCTCAAAATTCGTCTCTTGAGGCGCCTCAAAATTCGTCTCTTGAGGCGCCTCAAAAGTCTCCCCAAGTATCACCTCTGGCGTTACAGTTACTCCCCCATCACCCTCTGCTCCTTGCTCCCCACCCTCCTCCCCTGCCGCTCCTTCTTGCATCAACCTAGAACCACCGCTCTCAACTCCTCCTCCTCTCACCAGCACCGCATCACATGCTTGCTCGCACCCTCCACTTCCATCTCCTCCTTCTCTCCCGTCTCTTCCATCCCTCTCTTCTCTCCTATCTCTATCTTCTCTCCCTTCTCCCTCATCCTTTCCTTCTCCCCCTTCTCTTCCTTCCCTCCCTTCCCTCCCTTCCCTCCCTTCTCTCCCTTCCCTCCCTTCTCTCCCTTCTCTCCCTTCTCTCCCTTCTCTCCCTTCTCTCCTTTCTCTCCCTTTCCCCGAACTCCCACCAAGCCCATCTGCTGCTCCCTCACCCCGTTCCCTCCCCCGCCACGCAAGTCCAGGGCGCCTCAGCACGTCAAGGCCCGTCACCGGAGGGGTTGCAGGAGACAGCGCGCCTGCTAGCGAGTTTCGAGACGTCTCAAGGCCCGTCGCCGGAGGAGCTGCAGGAGACAGCGCGCCTGCTAGCGAGTTTCGAGACGTCTCAAGGCCCGTCGCCGGAGGAGCTGCAGGAGACAGCGCGCCTGCTAGGGCAGCAGCAGGGCCAGTGGAAACATCGACAACAGCGGGGGCAACAGTGGGAGCAACAGGTGTCGCACGAGTAGCGGGAGCAGGAGCAGCAGAACAAGTTGCAGCAGTGGCACCAACAGAGTCAGGAGCAGGAGCAGCAGAAGTGGCAGCAGCAGCGGCGGCAGCAGTAACCGCAGCAACAGCAGCCAGAACCGGTGGATCGAAGGAGAATGGCGCGGTTGCAGTAGGTTCAGAGTGATAGACCTCTCCATGGGGTGTGGAGAAGGGTGTGGGTTCAGAGAAGGATGGAGGTGTGGAGAAGGGTTGGGGCGTGGAGACGGGTGGGGGAGAGAGAGAGGCTGCGGAGGGAGGGAACGGCAGCGGAAACGGCGCGGGGAGAGCGAGAACGAGGGGGTAATTGCCTGGTGTGGACACAGGAGGGAGCAGCAGAGCTGGGCTGGAGAGGGCTGAAAAGGGAGGCATGCCGGAAGGGGGTGAGGTGCTGGGAAGGAGGTTAGGTGAAGAGGGGGATGGGAAGGGGAGAAAGGGTGAGGGAAAAGCAGAGGCTCGACCGGCCGCCGCGCCAGCCGCTGCAGGAAGGAGAGTGTGCTGCTTAAAGCCCTCGCGCTGCTGCTGCCGCGGCAGCTGCCGATGCTGCCGGTGCTGGTAGGTGTACGAGGATCGGCGGCCGTGCTCTCGCTCTGACACACCGTGCTCTCGCACTGACACGCCAGGGGGTTGGTGTGACACACGGGCCTGACCAGCGTGACCAGTGTGTGGGGGGGCAAGGGAAAGCCGGGGAGGAGGAGGGGGTAGGTGAGCGGTGGAGGCAGCAGCAGCAGCGTGCATGGGAGCCATGAGGTGCACCCACGCTGCCACTGTGTCTTGTAGCGCTCTCACTTGCTGCTCCATGCGACACGCCCGCTGCACCGCCCACACATGCTCCGCACTCCACTGCTGCTGTGCATCAGTTTGATAGTGGCTGTGGGAACCAGGTGTGTTTTGGGTCGACTCAAAAGCAACGCCCCAGCGTGCCACCCTCGCAACATCACGGCTCACAGTGTCTAGAGCCAGGCCACACACCCTCTGTATTTGCTGCTGCATCTCCTCTGGATTTCGCCCCATTCCATGCAGCAGCCTCATTGCTACCGCTGCCAACCCCCGCACCTCTCCTCCTCTTCCCCTGTCCCCTCCTCTTCTTCTTCTCCCCTCTCCTCCTCTTCTTCTCCCTCCCTCTCCTCCTTTCCTTTGACCTCCTAATGAGTGACGACAACCACTGATAATGCTTGGCCTTATCCCCGTGAGTGAAGAGAGGGGGAAACCCCCGCCGCTCCTGAGGCTGCCGCTTCTGGGACTGTAAAACCTACCATCTCTTCCCCTTTCTTGCATCCAACGAGTAGGATACAAGAGCGTGTCATTCTCAGGAACGTGTAACCAGCTCTCCTCTTGAGTCGACTCAAAAACATTCTCAGGAACGTGTAACCAACTCTCCTCCCTCCCTCTCGCACCTCCCGTCCCTCCCTCGCTCTCCCGCCGCCTCTTCACCCTCCCCCTCCTCCGCTCCCACTCCCCAGACCTCCTCTCTCTCTCCTCTCTCCTCTGCTCCCTCTCCATTCTCCTCCTCTCCCTCTCCCTCTCTCTCAGTCTGCTACTCATTCTAGTAGGCCGTTCCGCCTTGGCCCAACTGCCCATCCTCCCCTCCCTTCTCCCCTCCCTCCTCCCCTCTCTCCTCCCCACACCCCCCTCCCTCTCTTTCCTCTGCCGTCTCCGCTCCTCTTTCTTCCCTCTCCTACCTTCCTCCTTTCTGCTCCCCGCCCGTCCCCCTTCCCCTTGAATCACGAATCGGGGGGCACGGGGGAGGGAGGAGGAGAATTTACGGAGGGGAGAGAGTGAGGGGTGATTAAGCAGGTACAGCCCGCACCAGGCCAACCCCCCCAGCAGCCGCCGCTCTGCCTCTGTTCGCCACACACCCTGTGCGTGCTGCCCCTGCTGCCCCTGCTGCCCCTGCTGCCCCTGCTGCCCCTGCTGCCCCTGCTGCCCCTGCTGCCCCTGCTGCCCCTGCTGCCCCTGCTGCCCCTGCTGCCCCTGCTGCCCCTGCTGCTCCTGCTGCTTCTGCAGCTCCCCGTCAGGAATGTCGATTCGCCCCTCGGCCTCCCTCCCAGTCATCCCGTCCCCATCACCACCCTCCCCATCTCCACCCCTTCCTTCCACTCTCCTTCTCTTCCCAACTCTCCTTCCCTCCTCTTCCCACCGTCCTCCTTCCCCGTTTCCCCCCCTCTTCCCCTTACCCCCCATGCCCCTCCTCCCTGCCAACACCTCTCCCCTAGCACCTCTCTCCACCGCTTCCCACACCTCCCACGCCAATTGCCGAGCAGCCATGCCCACTGCCGCCCTCCACCTCCCGGCCAATGAGAGCTCGCCACCTGTCCTGCATCCTGCAATCTCCTCTTCCTGCTGACGCGTCCCATCCCCATCAACACACGCCTTATCATCCGCTTCCTCCCTCCTTCTCCCCCCTCCTCCCGCTCCGCCTCCTCCTCCCTCCTCCTCCTTGTTCTCTTCATTCTTGTCATCCCCAAGACATGCCTTCCCACACACACCACTTGCCCCCACCCCTTCAACCCTCTCTCCCTCACCATTTTCCTCCTCTCCTCCCTCTCGTTGTCCTGCTGCCCCTCCTCCCCCTCCCCCAACACTGCCCCCACCACCACCCACCATAAGCGACTGTTGCAAGCAGCAGGAGGGGAGAGAAGACAGAGTCAGCACTATGCGGCCACTCCCACTCACAGTCACCAAGCTCTGTCCACTTGCCTTTGCCCCAAGGCCGCTTAGAGGAGATGGTTCGGTTGAGGGAGGCGGGGAGAGACACGGGGAGTGATGATGATGCGAGGGACGGAAGAAGGGAGGAGAGGAGAGGGCAGAGGAGGGGGAGGGCGAGGGGGAGCGGGGAGAGGAGGAGGGGGGCAGGAAAAATCGTTGCACCGGCGATGGGAGGGCAGAGAGAGGTACCTCTGAGGTGGCCTGGGTGAGGGTGAAGTGGATGATAGAAACAAAAGAAAATTACAGAAAAATAAATACAGAAAAAAAAAGACAGGGAAAGAAAAGCGGGGTTTTGGAATGGCATGGCACAGCATGGCATGGCACAGCATGGCATGGCATAATTCGGCACCGCATGGTATGGCATGGCAGGACGCACCACAACGTGAAATTCCGGGCGCATGGCCACGGGACAAGGCGTGAGAGCAGCAGAGGACGCTAGTTGAGACTCCACCCCTGCCATCAGCTGCTCGAATGACGCCCACTCGCCTGACACCCCCACCCGCTGTGCTAGAACTCGACCCACAACACACATGCATCTTACCACGATGTGAATGCTGGCAGCAGTGGCACGGGATGAGTGCATGAACAGAGCAGCAGAGGACGCCAGTTGAGACTCCACCCCTGCCATCAGCTGCTCGAACGACGCCCACTCCCCTGATACTCTGCGTTTCCCTCATGCCATGGCAACGGATTGGTACGGCTGGACTCACCACGACGTGAATGCAAGCCGCGTTGGCACGGGAAGAGTGCATGAACAGAGCAGCAGAGGACGCTAGCTGAGACTCCACCCCTGCCATCAGCTGCTCAAATGATGCCCACTCCCCTGATACCCTGCCTTCCCTCCCATCCCCCTCTTCTTCCTCGTCCTCTTCCTCCTCTTCCTCCATTTCCTCCTCTTCCTGGCTCTCCTTACTATCCCCTCCCTCACTCACCTCCCCTCCTCCTTCCTCCTCCTCCAACCTCTCCCCATTAACCCCTCCCTCCTCCTCCTCATCCTCCTCCTCCCCATCCACTCCCATGCCTCTCCCATCCTTCCACCCCTGCACCACCCATGTGTTGACACGTGGCAGCAGCAGCACACAGGGCGCCATGGATCTTGCTTGCTCTGCGAACCGGAAGAGAGGGGAGAAGGGAATCGGGAGAGGGGAGAAGAGAATCGGGAGAGGGGAGAAGGGAATCGGGAGAGGGGAGAAGAGAATCGGGAGAGGGGAGAAGGGAATCGGGAGAGGGGAGAAGAGAATCGGGAGAGGGGAGAAGGGAATCGGGAGAGGGGAGAAGAGAATCGGGAGAGGGGAGAAGGGAATCGGGAGAGGGGAGAAGAGAATCTGCAGTGCCTCAGAAAGACACCTGCGGCATTCTAGAAAGGGAAAGCTGATGGAAAAGCAGACACACAAGATGATAACACAAGAGGAGGCATTGATATATAAGTGTGCACATGGCTGCACCCATGTGGATGCAGCAAGAACAGAGCAGACAGCTCTAGGTGACTTTTGACTTTTGAGTCGACTCAAAAGTCCCCTTGGCTGCACCCATGTGGACGCAGGAAGAACAGAGCATACAGCTTTAGAGCACTAGATACGTGGAGCATGAGAGCATGGGAGGGAGGCTGACCTAAGAGTGCACGCATGCCAACAGCCATGTCCCCTTGCCCCAGCAGCACCATAGCCGGCACATCCACCTCCACCACCACCGCCCCTTCTTGAAAATCCCCAGAAGTGACACAAGCATTTTCCTTCAACGCACCTATGAGAGCACGCATGCCTGCAGCCATGTCTCCATGCCCCAGCAGCACCATAGCCGGTACATCCACCACCACCACCGCCCCCTCCCCTCCTCCCCTCCTCCCACACCCCACCCTCCCCCTCCCAACCTCTCTGCACCGCTCTCCACTTGGAAAATCCCTCTGCTCCATCTGCACCACTCTGCACGCCTCTGCAAATGACTGTGTGCCTCGGGGGCAGAGAAGCTTGGCTGCTACTGCACCCACATGCGCCTGCCCCTGCTCGCCCCTCCCACACACCACCACCCTCTGCCCCTGCCTCTGTCCCTGCCCCTGGCACTGCAATGGCTGCCCTTGCCCCTGCCCCGTTCCCCCTGCTTGCTGCTCCCACTGCCACAACCCAAACGGTGAATTACCACCCTCTTCCTTCTCATCCCCTTCTTCCTCCTCCTCGTCCCCCCACTCCCCTCCCTCCGGCCCCTGCTCCTTCTCCTCCCCCTCTTTCTCCCCTCCCATTCCCTCTTCCCCCCTCTCCATATTCACATCTTTAGCCTGTGTGCCTCTGTCTTTTCCTCTCTCCACCCACCCCAGCATCTCCAACGCGCGTCCCACCACCCACTCCTCCTCATCCCCTGCTCTCTCATCTCCCCTCCCCACCATCTTCCATCTTTCACTGTCTGCACTGCCCCCTCCCCTAAAACCACCTTGCATATAGTCACATCTCACACCTGCTCCCCTCCCCATAATGTCATTGGTTCTCATTTCAATTACCTCCTGCTGTTTCCCAACCCCGGCTGTCTCAACCAGTGCACGAACCAGCCGAATCAAGGCAGGGGCCAGGATCGGTAACAGGTACCCAGGCACGGCAGCCGAACCTAACTTGCCGAAGCTGGCAGCTGCAGTTCGGAGGGCACAGGGCACTTGTGCCAGCTGCAGTGCTTCCAGCCAATCACAGGCCTCCACGTGGATCTCAGGGACAGGCAGACGAGACACCTTCGCTGGCACCAATGAGCCTGTGCCACGTGGACAAGAAGGTGATCCTGCTCCGGGCAGCTGGGGCTGCCCAGCACCAAACTTTTCACTCCCGGGCAGCACATCCAGAGCCAAAGCCTTGTCCATGGGAAACGTTTTTCTCAGGGCAGCCATAAGTGCATCATTGCAGACTGCCCGAAGATCTGCCCCTGCAAATCCTTCACTCCTCTTCGCTAGCTCCTCCAGAACCTTCCCGGAAGGTGCCACCCCCGGCCCCCACCCCCCCGTTATCGCCCTCAAAATCGCCTTCCGGCCCGCAAATCCGGGCAGCGGAAAGAAAATCTCGCGGTCGAACCTGCCCGGGCGGCGCAGGGCAGGATCAATGGCATCAATCCGATTGGTTGCAGCAATAACGGTAACCGCACCCCTTGAATCCAACCCATCAAGAAGCGCCAAAAGCGTAGCCACCACAGAGCTATGAGTGGGGTCCTGATTCGCCCCCCTGGCCGGCGCCAGCCCATCTAGCTCATCAAAGAATATAATCGACGGCTGACGTTGCTTCGCCACTTCAAACAACAGCCGTAGATGCTTCTCCGCGTCTCCCACGTACTTCCCAAGGCAATCCGCGCCGTGCCGCGCAAAAAACGCCACTTCCCTCTCCCCCCTCGCGCACGCCCCTGCCAACGCCCGCACCACCAGAGTCTTCCCTGTCCCGGGCAGCCCGTGCAAGAGCACGCCGCGGGGGGGTGTTATGCCGAGGGATGGGAAGAGGGAGGGGTAGCGCAGGGGGAGGAGGACGAGCTCTGTGAGAGAGCGGATGACTGGACGTAGGCCTCCTATGGCGGACCATGGGGGGAACGGGGAGGCGTGGGGGAGTGGAGCGGGGGTGCTGGGGGGATGGGTGGATGGGGCGGATGGAGGGGCGGGTGGTGGTGCTTCTGTTGGTGCTGCTGCTTTTACTGGTGTCGCTTCTGCTGGTGCTGATCCTGCTGCTGCTGCTCCTGCTGCTGCTGCTCCTGCTGATCCTGCTGCTGCTGCTCCTGCTGCTGCTGCTCCTGTTGCTCCTGATGCTGCTGCTCCTGATGCTGCTGCTCCTGATGCTTCTGCTGGTGTTGACTGTGGTCCTTTGGCTACTACAGGTGATGCTGCTGCCACGGCTACTATCTCTGCTGCTGCTTCTGCTGTTAATGCTGCTCCTGCTCCTCCTCCTTCAGCTCCTGCTCCTGCTGCTGCTTCTGCTGTTAATGCTGCTCCTGCTCCTGCTCCTTCAGCTCCTGCTCCTGCTCCTGCTGCTGCTCCTGCTGCTGCTCTCACGCCAGAACCATCCCCCCCAGCGTCCACTGCGTCTGGAGCGTCCCTCTTCCTTCCAACCAGCACCTCAGGCTCTGCTGTAACCCTTGCCTGCTGTTGACAAATCTCAGAACCAGCTCCCGTTGCTGCTCCTGGAGTGTCCCTTGCCCTTTCAACCAGCACCTCTGAATCCGGTGTATTCCTCGCCCGCTTTTGAGACATCTCAAAGACACCCTCTCTACACGCAACCAGCACCTCTGAATCCAGTGTATTCCTCGCCCGCTTTGCTGCCATCTCCCCCTCCCCATCACCCTCAATCCCCCAATCTGTTGCCCCACCCACCTCCTCCCTCGCTCCCTTCCTCCCTCCCTCACTCACTCCCTCACTCACTCCCTCAATCACTCCCTCACAGACCCCCGCATTCACCCGCTCGCCGCTCACGCCACCTAGTGCTAACTCCACAGCACCACCCCCCAGGTGCACTTGGGGACTCAAGCCCTGTAGTAGCTCCATTGCTCCCTTTCTTCCCTCTCGTCCTTCATCCCTTCCCTCTCTTCCTCTCTTCTTCCCCTCCTCCGCTGCTTTCCCTCCTCTACCTAGCTCCACATCCCTCTCATCCAGCCGCCCTTCCACCACTTTCCCCTCCCTCACTCCCTCCTCCTGCATTCCCCCCTCCCCTCGACCAGCCTCCCCAACCCCCCTTGCCCTCAACAGCACCTCCAGCGGAGTGTCAGGGCCAATCACAGCCGCCAATTCCTCCCCCGCTTCCCCCTCCCCTCCCCCCAGCCCCCTTGCTTCCGCCCCCCCAAACCGCACCATCACCCAACCAGATGTCGCCACGTCAGCGCCACCACCATCACCGCCACTGTCAGGCATTGCCACCAGACTCAACAAGCTGTGCGCTGCTCTCTGTGACTGTTCCCCTAGTGGCTTACTCTCATTCTCACACTCCACATTGTCACACTCAGCTTTGGCACAGTCAACCTTTTCCCAGACACTGCCAGTTTGAATTGGATTTTTTGCGCGAAATCCCTCCCCCTCCCCCCCTTCTGCTTCTCCCCCTGCTCCCCCTCCATCCCCTCTCCGCCCTCCCCCTCCGCCCCCCCTTCCCTCTCCCCCAGGTTCAACCCCAGCCGGCCTCTCAAGCCCAGCCACTGGATAACGAGCACGACCTGCTGACGTGGCCAGCGACAGGGCAGCACCGCTGGCAGCCGCACGCCACGTCACCCCTCCCCCAAGCCGAACCGGCTCAACCCTAGCTAGGTCCCTCACTCTCCTCCTCCTCTCCTTTGCCTGAAACTCCTCATCCTCATCATCCTCCTCACTCCCCATCCCCTCCTCCCACTGCGCCTCCGCCTCCTCATCCCTCCGGGCAGCTGCACGGGCAGCCGACAAAAGTTCCACCATCTGCCCGGACAGCCTGCCCGCGGGCTGCCCGTAAAAGGCGTTGAACTCGGGCAGGTGGGAGCCGTGGCGGCGGAGCATGAGGGAGCGAGTGTGGAGCGGGCAGGAGATGAGGAAATCGGTGTGGTCAAAGAAACAGTCGTCGTAGCGCGCACAGGGCTGGGGGGGGAGGGAAGAGGGTGGGGGGAGGAGGAGGAGGATTAGGGGATGTGCGGGGAAAGGGAAGGAGGTGTGGAGGGGCAGAATAAGAGGAAATCATTGTGGTCGAACAAACAGTCGTGTACTTCCCGTTTCATCTCGGTGATAGCCTAGCCTAGTTTTGAGGCGCCTCAACATCCACCGTAACATCTCACCGAGTGGTACGAGTGCGAACATCTCCCCTCCCTCGCCTCTCCATTTCTCACTGACCGGCAGTTGAAACGTACGCCGTTTCATCTCTCCGGGTGGTGCACAGCACATGCGAACACCTCTCTTTCCCTCTCAGTTTCATCTCGCCACCCATCACGACTCACAGAGTTTCATCTCGCCAGGTGGTACGTGGTGGGGCGCTTCTTCTCCCTTGCCGTTTCATCTCGCCATCCGTTACAAGTCACGCCGTTTCATCTCACCAGGTGGTACGTGTGAGGGCACCGCTCCTCCCGGCACCCAATGTTGGCCCCGCTGCGACCACACCGGCTGCACTTGAGCAGCCTCCCCCTCCGCACGGCAGCAGGCACGTTCTTCAGTTGATTCGCCGCACAGAAGAACACCTGGGGAGAGGGGGAGAGAGGGGTAGGGTGCTTTGGTAGTGGTGCGGGTGGTGTGGGAGTGGCGACGCCTCAAAAGCTGCACGGCAGCAGGCACGTTCTTCAGTTGATTCGCCGCACAGAAGAACACCTGCAGAGAGGGGGAGGGTGATGCAGTGTGAAAGTATTTTTTGAATCGACTCAAAAGCGCCACCCCCGACCTGAGGAGCAGGGAGAAGGGGGGAGGACGGGGGGAGGAGGAGGGAGAAGAGGGGGAGGACGGGGGGAGGACGGGGGGAGGAGGGGAGGAGGACTGGGGGAGGAGGGGAGGATGGGGGGAGGAGGAGGGGAGGAGGGGGGAAGGACGGGGAGAGGACGGGGGGAGGACGGGGGGAGGACGGGGGGAGGACGGGGGGAGTAATAGCGCCGTCATCATTATCATTCTCAGCAGCAGCAGCAGCAGCTACTGACAGCGGCGCACCTCGGGGCTCCAGATGGCGCATTCGCGGTGAACCCACGCGCCAGCAGCGCCGCTCCGCTCCGCCACGGGCCCCAGCAGCGGACCCAGCCAGGCGCGCACGTCCGCGAAGTGCGGATCCGGCCGCATTGGCGGCCACCGCATCTCGCGCATCTCCCCCTCCGCCGCGTGGTTCCCCCCCGCTCCCTTAGCTGCCCCCTTTCCGCCGCTTCCTCCGCCATCCTCCTGCTCGCTCCGCCCTTCCGCGCGCCCGCGGTCTCCGCCGCTCCGCGCTTTTCCAGACAGCGAAATCCGGAAAGCTCCCGCTGCGCTCGATGACTCTCTTGGGCGGGAAGATCTGTCGTGATATGTGATTCGTCGCACTACGTCTAGAGGCGGCTCGCCGTGCCTGTTACCGCCGCACAGGCAGCAAACGGGGCCGTCTGCCGATGCGGATGACTTGAACGGCATGGCGTTACGCTTCACCTGGACGTTTACTTACCGTTGGAAACATGATTCGCAATGGAAAGTGGACGACTATTTGCGACTCGCGTTATGCGCGGGAAACGGGAGCGCAAGGAAATGTGAATCATGCGATCTGATGCAAGGACAAGCAGTAGCTGAAAGGGAAATAACTTGCAGGCTTTGATGGGAAAGCGTGGATTGCGTTTTACCAACATGAACACTGAGCAAGAGTTACGATTGCGTAGCCCGTTACCCGTTTCGTGATCCTGTCGTCGGTAGCGAAAGCTCACCCATCTGGGGTACACCCAGATTGTGTACCCACCCGCCCATCTCTGCCAAAATAGCGTTCCTGGTACCTGATTGGTCAAACGGATGGCAGATGATGGGGATGTAGAGATGGGCATGGCGGGCAGAAAGCAACATGGGAAGGATGGGGGTCATGGATGTCGGTTGGCGCGAACCATAGGCAGAACGACGATGAGCTCTCGAATGAGTTACCAGCAGCTGCGTCACTTCGTGACAACCTCGACAGTGGTGCATGAACGAGGCCGAAATGTGGCGAGCGGCGAACGGAACTCGTTCGCACCCCAACGACCGTGCACGAAATACAAGAGCCAGATGTTCCCAAGAATCCCCCGCTTCTAGATTGTGCCGAACCGAACCTCGGCCACCTTTGGGCAACCCGAGCCTAACGTAACCAGCGCCGAGCCTACTACCCCAGCCTTCTCCCTCGCTTTGTCCGAGCCTGACAAAGGCACCACCTTCCTCCTACTACCTCTTTTTTCTTGCCTCGATTTTCTCCTTTTATCCAGTCACGCTTGCTGACTACCAATCGCCGTGCTGAAACCCTTGAGTTATGGTCGCTTTGTGAAACCTATCTATGGTCGCTCTGTGAAACCTAATCTTCGTCTTTTACCCGCTTCGGCTCAGCCTGTTTTTTTATTAAACCAGAGCAAGCCTGCGCTGGTTCAGTTCTTAGAGAACCCAATTTTGTAGAGGTTATTATTCTAGCAAATTCGCCATGGATTTCTCAGATGACACGGATTACACTTGTCCGTTGTGCATGGAGGAAATGGATTCCACAGACAGGAAGTTCCAGCCGTGCCAGTGCGGTTATCAGGTGCTTTTCCGCTCTTTCCAGTCCGCTTAAGATTCCGTTTCTAAGGACGATTGATAGGATTTCCGCATCCGCGACTTGTTTGGTTCGGATTAGAAACCGCTGTTAAGAACGTTTCCTAAGAGCGTTCGACTCAAATTTGAGCCGATGTTTGAGTCAGACTCAAAAAATCAGCTGTTCAGGACGTTCGTATCATGGTTAGCATAGAGTTTGACCTGTGTTGTCTCATCCGTTGCTTGTCTGTGGTAACTCGTGGTGACTCGCAGATTTGCCTGTGGTGCTGGCACCACATCATGGAGATGGCGAATAAGGACCATCTAGAACCTCGCTGTCCAGCCTGCCGTTCTCCCTACAGCAAAGACAAGATCGCATCCAACGGTCCCGATCTTGACGAGTAAGTCACTGAGTTTTTATTAACCTCGCATCGTCATCATCCGGCAAGGTTTATCTTGCATAAAGACCGTAATCAACCAGTCTCGTCGCGTCATCACCATGCACGGTTTTGTGTCAGGAGCTGAAAATACTTAGCAGCAATGTTTTTATGTGTTGCTTGTGTCTGGCCTTGCAGTTTTACCGAGTCGGAGAAGCGATCCAAGTCGAAGTCTCGTCCGAAGAGCGCGTATGCGACGGCAGAAGGCCGGCGACATCTGAGCAACGTGCGCGTGGTGCAGAAGAATCTTGTCTACGTCGTCGGTATCCCGCTCTCCGTTGCGGACGAAGAGGTCAGCCGTAGCTTCAGGTTTTTAGCCTGCTCGCCTGTACCAATTCGACTGTTGAGTCAACCCTAAACTTGCTCGTGGTGCGCGTTGTTGAGTCAATCTCGTTTATGAAGTCGGAATTTTGCTGTCCGTCGCAGACGATTAGGTTAGTTGCAGCTTCAGGTTTAGCCTACTCACTCGATTCAGCTGTTGAGTCGATTCAAGAAGTGCGCGGGTTGCAGAAGAGAGTCGTTCACGTCTTCGGCATCCCGTTGTCCGTGGCAGACGAAGAGTTATAGCGTAGTCCCAAGTCTAGACCGTTCTCCTGCATCGATCCGTTGGTCGTACCTGCGTGAGCATACCGAGTCGTACCTGCTGCCGTTTCCGCGCTTCCTGATGCCCTAGATTCTCGCCGTCGCATCGTGCTAGCTCGTCTCGTCAAACCGCCTTCGGACAATCATTCGCCGAACCTGTTGCTAATTTTAGCCGATTTTTTCCTCACGCTCTCCCTCGCGCTCTTCCCCGCAGACTCTGGAGCGGCGCGACTACTTTGGTCAGTACGGCAAGGTCGTCAAAGTGGCCGTGTCTCGCTCCAATTCCTCCTTCGGCGGCTCCGTCCACCCCCCCTCCGCCAACGTGTACGTTATTGAGATTTTCAGTAGGAGTTATTTCTCTCAAGAAGCAAAACGAAAAAAAAAAATCGGAAAAGAAAACAAAATAAGGCAGAATAAGGACGCACACACACGATATTGTGTGTACTTTATGGAGATTTTCAGCTGTCTTGCGCCACCATGGTGTGATGGTGTGAACGTGTGGTGCATGTGTGGTGTGTGAACCTGTGGTTTGAACGTGTGTCCTGCATATGAACGTGTGATGTGCGTGCATGTGTTTGTTGAACCAGGTACGTGACGTATCTGAGGGAGGAGGACGCCCTCCGGTGCATCCAGGCCGTTGATGGATGCCTTTTCGAGAATCGAATCCTCAGGTGCGCCCTGCTGGCTTGGCCCGTGTTGAAACTTGCCGCTTGGAGTAGTAGGTTTTATGTTCTGGCTTTTCGAAGACTCGGACAGTTGTACAATTCCTAACAGGCTTTGTTCTGTCCTGTACGCTTGGATCGGTTTGTCTGTGCAGAGCATGCTTTGGCACAACTAAGTATTGCAACGCGTGGCTGAAGAATCTGGTATGTTCCGCGTGTCAGTTTAGAGTTAGGAGGGTAATGCAAGCTGTTGCGTATCCTGCATGCGACGGTGTGCGTCCAGGTGTCCTTTGGCTGAAGTCTGCAGCGAGTTTGCGGTGTGGCAGATATGCAACAACCCGGATTGCTTGTATCTTCACGAGTTTGGCACGCAAGAAGACAGCTACACCAAGGAGGAGATGGTGCAGCGGCATGGGGTCAGGTGCGTCTTTAATGATGCCGTTGTTGCAGACGCGTGGGCCTAGTTGCGTCTCTGAATGATTACATGACATTCAGCACGTATAGAGGCGGCTATTAAGGCGTTGTGTTTGTCCTGTCGCTTGCTAGTGTCGCTATTTTCTAGTGGACCTTCTTCCCCTCACCTGCCGCCTCACACTACCGCCTCTCCTACCAACTCCGTCTTCTGTCTCCCATTTGTTGTGTGCTGTGTGCTGTGCGCTGTGTGATGTGAGCCATGTGCCATGTGCCATTGCCGTGTGCTTCGTGTGCCGTCTCCTGTGTCCCTCTCGCGCCGTCCTGCATGCCTCGTTGCAGCAAGCACCCAGCTCCGTACTTCGACCCGTCGCATTCTGTAAACCGCCGTGCAGCCAATGGTCTGCCACCCTCGCTCGACACGCACATGGAGAAGGTCAGTTGGGTTACCCTAATATCTGTGCTTTGCCGTTTCATGTCCAAATTCCCATTCTGTATGTCAACGGTGTTGTGCACCTTGAGTTTCCTAATTCCTCTGACCATTGAAGCCAAAGTTGTTGTTCCCCTAGGTTCTTAGTCCATCTGTGTTGGTTCGTGTGTGCAGAGCTCAGCTGTGCCGGCAGCGAGCCATCCAGCAACGACAGCTAAGGTGTTCACGCTGGGCCCGTCAACAGCACCCAAGACTGGAGGCTTGCTGCCTGCAGCCGCCTCGTGGTATGATGCTCTTGATTTCAACAACTCTCTCTGGCAAATTGTGCAACTCGTTGGGGCATTTTTCCTGAGCGTCTGCGTCGTTCTTCCGCCCTCACGCTCTCCATTCTCTTTCACGCTGGTTTCCTGCTCTCGTGCGCTGCTACTTTTCTCCTCCGTTCTTTTCCAGGGGCTCGAAGGCGTCACTAGCGGGAAAAGTCGTTCTATCCGCGTCCAAACCTGCTTCATCCAGTACAGTCTCCTCAGCAATATCAGTCCCTGCAGCGAAACCCACCTCTGGATCCACACACACAGCATCTTCCTCGTGGTCCTCATCCAACGGCCCACAATTGTTCAAACCTTCCGCAGCAGTGCTTAGTGGCAGGGTGATACAGGCCAGTGCGCATTCCCCGCCAGTAATCTCGCATGTGAACGCTGCGCAAGCCGTGTCTGGGGCGGGGACAGGGTTCGGATCGCTGCAGGACAAGCAGATGCATGGCAAGTCACCGCCTAGCATTCTCTCGCAATCGTCGACTGTGCGACCTGCAGCGTCCACCACCGTGGGTTTCCAGCCGTCTGGTCTGTCTAGTTCCGCCGCCTCTGTCGCTAGAACAGCAGCCACAGCCGCGCTTGCGTCAGGGCCAGGGAAACCGACAGCAGCAGGAGTAACGCAGCAGAAGGTAGCAGCTACTGCCGCCGCTCCTGGTTCGGCTGCTTCATTAGGCTCGGCAGCTGCTGGTTCGGTTGCAGGGGGGTCTGCTCGGTCTAAGGGTCAGTCGCCGTCGAAGCAGAGGTCTCGGTTGGTGGTTCTGGGGCAGACGGCGCAGGCTAAGGCTTCGTCTCTGGGCAGGGAGTCGCCCACTCCCGCGCAGCTCGCGTCGTCAGGTGCCGCATCAAGTGGTTCTTCAGGTGGATCAGCAGGTGAGCATGACTACGCGGCTGCTTTGGCAGGTCGGGCTGCTGCAGGAGGGGCAGCGGCCACGGGCAGTAGCGGATCAAAGAAGGGATTGAACGGGACGCATGCGCATAAAGGGTCACGATCTGAGGACATGGAAGGAGTGGAGAGCGGTGATGCCAGCACAAGCACCGGTAGTGCTGTTAGTAGCAGTAAGAAAGGCGGAAAGGACAGTAGCGTTGAGAAAAGTGGCAAGGATGGGAAGAGTAGGAAGGGTGCGAAGGAAGAAGCTGGTAGAAGTGGTGAGGCTGTCAAAAATGACGAGTCGAAGAAGCGGGCTTCGATGGAGGAGTGCGGGGAAGGTCGGGAAGGAGAGAAAGAGAACACGGGAACGCAGAGAACAGGAGGCAAGCCTCACGCGCAGAAGGAAGAGGGTGCAGAGAATGCGGCAGGGAAGGGCGGGGGCGGGGGCGGGAAGAAAGGGAAGAAGAAGAAGGGCGAGAGCGGCGTAGTGAGGGTGATGGTGGAAGCGGATGACTCGCGCAGCTGGGAGGAGCTGCATGGGGTAGAGGACGAGGAGGAGAAGCGACCGCGGGAGACGGGTGAGGCGCGCGCGGAAGGGAAAGAGGGTGCGCAGGCAAGTGCGAAGAGTGAATTGCAGGCCAGAGTACTGGCGTTTGATCCTATGCGGCTGGATGCGCAGAAGGGGAAAGGGAAAGACGGTGATGCTGGGGTAGGAGAGAAGGGGTCAGATGGGGGAAAGGACGGCGGTGGGGTGGATAAGGCGAAGGGGCGGGGTGACGCGGATAAGGGCGCCTGTAAGGTGAGTGGGCAGGCAGAGAAAGGGAAGGGGAAAGGGTCAGGCACAGAGGAAGGGGACAAGGGGAGGGCGAGAGTGGGTGGGTCTAATGAAGGAGAGAAGATATCAGAAAAGGTCAAAGGTAAAGGGCAGTCAGAAGCAGACAAGAAGAAGCCAAAAGGGGCGGCAGCAAAGGAATCTGAGAAGGATAAGCAGAAGGGGAGGGCGGAGAGGGTGGAGAAGGGTGAAGGTGCCTTGTCCAAACGCGCAAAGGCTGAGAGTAAAAACAAAGAGGAGGTAGCAAAGTGTGCCACATCAAGTCAGGAGCGAGAAGCTGATGTAATATCCACAGGTATGGAAGAAGATAAGCAGGAAGAGAGTCAGGAGTCAGGGAGTGAGTCGTCTAAGATGGATATAGATATGGAGCCAGAAACGGCAGCAGGGACGGGCAAGGGCAAAGTGTTGAAGGAGGAGAAAAAGATGGAGGAGAGAAAGACAGAGGAGAGAAGGACAAAGGAGGAGAAAAGGTCAGCGGAGGAGAGGAGGACAGAGGAGAGTCTTCCAGACGAGGATGAGCTCTCGGTACTGATTGCTGGAGATGTGGTGGCTTCAGCATCGGCAATCCAGCTGCCAGAGGCTAGCGATGGGGCAGACAGTGCTGCTGAACGGGAGTCCGATCAAGGTAAACTCGCTTTTGTGGCTGATGCTGCTGATAGTGCAGGTGGCATGGGGGGACAGGCGGGGAAGGCTATGGGTGCGCCGAAGGGTATGAACGGAAGCATACTTCCTGTGCAGAGAAAAGCTTTGGTAGAGGCTGCAGCGCCTGCGGGAGGCGAGGGGCGTAGGGACGGGCAGCGAAACGAGTCGAATGTAATTGCGGATATTCTTGGCATGGATGCAGACACGTGGGGCACAGGCGCCTTTGGGTCCTCCGGTGTGCTGTCTAAGCTGTTCCGAGGGAGTTTTAAGGACCCAATGGCAACACCAGGAGCGGGAGAAGGTGCAGAGGCAGGAGCAGGGGATGGAACAGGGTCAGGGGGAGGGGCTGCAGCAGGGGGGGGTGAAAAAGCAATACCAGGAACAGAGGCTTCCGCAAAGCCAGAAGTAGAGGCAAACCCAGCACCTGCGCCTGCATCTGCACCAGCACCTGCATCCACACCACCAGCACCTGCCATCCCCTCGTCGCTCTCGCGGCGATCCCGGTTCCGTTTTGCTCAGGAAGAGGCTGGGGCAGGTACATCTGGGGAGGGTGCAGCTGCCAGTGCAGGTGGTGCCAGCGGCCAGGTGGTTGGGCTTGAAGGGGTTGGGCTTCAGATGGGGGGGCTTCATGAGTCGTTTTTTGGCTCTCTTGGCTTTGGCTTGGGGGTCAGCGGCAGTGGCTTAGACAACAGTGGTGTGAGCAGCGGGAGAGCTGCCGATGCTGGCATTGGTGTGGGTGATGCGGGGCGTGGCATCAGTCGTGGGAAGAATGGTGTTGGTGAGAAGGACGGCCATGATACACAGCAGCAACAGCCACAGCAGCAGCAGCAGCAGTTGTGGAAGCCAGAAGCTACTGTGGGTTCAGTCCAGTTGTCCCCCTCCATAGCACCACAGGAGAGAGCTGCAGCGCCCCTAAACCCATCCCAACCATCCGAAACCCCTGCATCTGACGCGCCCCAAGACTTGCGGCCCCCCACCCTGACTACCTCTAGGAGCGGCAGCTTCAGAGCAGGCGGTCCGGGGGTATCAGCATTGGCGCCTCCACCAGGCTTTGCCAAGAGGCCTGACTCCGTGCCTCCTGGCTTTGGCCGCACGTCCCCAGCACTCCCAGGTGGTGCGCCCGTCTTCCTCCCTCACCTCCCTTTTCTTTTTTGTCTTTCTACTGTCAGGCTCGTCTGTCTTTCGCTACCTATTCCGCATCCCCCTTTCCCTGCTGGTCGCAGAAAGCGCCCGACGGGTGTCATGCTGCTCTGGTTGAACTGGTCTGTTCCGTGTCCTCTTCCCCTCCTTGGAACCGCGCCCAACTCACAGGCGCCATGCAGCCGCCACCTGGCTTTGGACCTCTCCCCGCCAAGACCCCTCCCTTGCTGGCCTCAATTGGGGCACCGTCAGCACAACCAGGAGCTGGCCTGGAGTCAACCGTGGAAAGTGCTGCAGCAGGTGAGTTTTCTTTACTATTTTTTTTTGTGTATTTTCTTTGCTGTTAAGCCTCCAAATGTGGTTCTGTGCTGCTTCTCCACTCCTCAAGCAGCGTGCTACTCTTTGCTCCTTCAACCTCTGCTGCTCCTGCTGTCCCTGCACCTCCTCTCGCTGCATTGCAATATGCAGCATTTTACTTTGGTCCATGCTCGCCCTCACGTGTTTCTTCATGTGTGTGGCTTTTGCATCCGTCCCCCCCTCTCCCACCTGCCTCTTTTCCCCTAACAACCTCTTTCCGCCACCAGCAACAGGGCGAGCATCTCCAGCAGTGAACTCACAACACCTGACACCCAGCGATACCAACCGGAACGCCTCTTCTCTCCCACCGCCTCTCGCAACCCTCGCATCAAACCAATCCCCAGACCTGTCAAGCAAACCGCCCTTTCCGGACCCTTCAAGAAGCACCCACTCCCCAGACCCATTAAGGGCCAGGGGCTCCACTCCCAATTCCAATGCGGGGGATGAAGCAGCACGCGGGGAGGCTGGGTATAGTGACATAGGGCCGATGGCAGAGCTGCTGATGAGAATAGGCGTCACTGTGAAACCAGCTGCACCTGCCGGCGCGAGCTCTAGCCTAGCTTCGGAATCAGGTAAAACAGGGCTTGATGGAGGTCCTAGTGTTGTCGGAGTAGGGTTTGGTGCCAGGACTGATTTGCCGCCGATTAGGGAGAGAGGGGTGGTAGAATTGGCAGGGGAGGCAGAGGAAAAGGAGCGTGGTCTGGCTGAGGTACAGAGTGGGCTTTCCTCTCTGTTTCCTGGTTTGGCCGGCCCGTCTGAATCAGCGGCTGCAGTGGCCACAGGGGCGGCAGAAGCAGAGCTCTCGAGCTCACTTGATTTGGAGTTTGTGGATCCGGCAATCATGGCCGTGGGAAGGGATGCTCTTCTGCGCGATTCTGGCTCGGCTGGACTAGGTGGAGCGCCTCGTTCCGAGGCTGCTTCGCAGGACGGGAACGTTCTCAGCTCGCTGTTTATGGGAGCGGCTGCTGGGCTGTCTCGGCCGGTGGAGGGGGGTGGGCTAGGCATGAGTAGCGGTGTTGGGAACAGTGCTGGAATCAGCAGCATTGGTAGGAGTCCTGCTCCTACTATGGACAATGCCGATGCGTCGTCTCACTTGGTGAGTATTCTGAAAGGGCTGTCTCTGGGAGCGCAGCAACAGCAGCAGCAGCAGCAGCAGTCAGTGCATAGTTTTGCCCTGTCGAACAGGTACATGGAGCCGCAATTGATGCAGCCCCAGTCACAGCAGCCGCAGCACCAGCAGTATCATCCACAGCAGCAATTTCAGCAGCAGCAGCAGCAGCAGCAGCAGCAGCAGCAGCAGCAGCTGGATTTGGGGCCAGGGTCTATTCAGCAACCGTTTTCTGGGGGTGCCCCTCTCTCCTTCTCCTCTCTTGCATCCCACTCGTCCTCCTCGGTCAATCCCCTCTCCAATGCAGACCCATCAGCCGGACTGAGAGGCCAGTTGGTAGAGGGGGGCTTTATGAACGTCCCAGGACCATCCACACAGCTGCGCCTTTACCCTGGTTTGTCTGCCTTCGACCATCCTCTCTCCCATCCGTCCCATCCTCCACACGCCTCCCTCGCAAACCCACCCCCTTCCGACCACTTCCGTCAGGAATCTGACTCGCTGCGGGCCTTCCTGTCTGCGGCACCCAATGCCCCATTCCGTGCCGCGCCTTCTGACACCTTCACAGCCCCATTCCAGTCCGTATCCCATGCTGCGTACCCCTCCGCTACAAGGAGTCTGCAGTTTGGAGCCTCGGGAACCCCAGGCAACACATTAGGGTTCGGGTTAGGGTTAGATGCAGCAGCTGGGGCACACGTGTCCACCAACCCGGCCTCCTTGGCGAACCAGCCTCAGGAGCCCCTCCCTCCATCCGCTGCTGCTTCTGCTTCTGGCTCTGACTTTGCACGCATGGGTGGTGGGTCGGGCTTGGGTTTCTCAGCAGCACAGTCAGGAGGGGGTTCAGGGTGGTCTGGTGCGGTCCCATCAGGTCGGGTGGGGGGGGGTATAGGGTTGGAGCTGGGAGGAATGGGAGGAGCAGGAAGTGGACTGGGAGGAGGAAGCGGAATGGGAGGTGGCGCAGGGGGAAAGGGAGTGGGTTTACAGCCTCTCGGGGGGCTGTCTGGTTTGTCTGGTCTGTCTGGTCTGTCCAGCCCATCAGGGCTTTCGTCTGGCCTGTCTCGCATGATAGCTACCGTGCCGAATGCGAATGGGCAGGGCTCACATGTGCCCTTCACAGGCCTGCCTCCTGGGCTTGGCAGCACGCGGGCCGGATTAGGGTTTCTGTCTGGTGCAAGTGGTGCATGGAGCGGTGGAGAACGGTTACCAGGTGCTGGTTTGGCTGGTTTTGGGCTGAGAGAGCAGCAGATGCAGAGGATGGTGGGTGGTGGCGGGTTTAGGGAGATTGGTCAAGGGGATGGTGCTCAGATGTTGTCGTTTCAGCAGCAGCAGCAACAGCAGCAGGTGCAACAGCAACAGCAGCAGGTGCAACAGCAACAGAAGCAGGTGCAACAGCAACAGCAGCAGGTGCAACAGCAGCAGCAGCAGCAGCAGCAGCAGCAGCAGCAGCAGCAGCAGCAGCAAGAGCAGCAACAGCAGCAGCAGCAGCAAGAGCAGCAACAGCAGCAGCAGATGCAGCATCACTTGCATCAGGCACACATGCATGCACCTCCCCAGCACCAGCACCAGCACCAGCACCAGCACCAGCACCAGCACCAGCAACAGCAGCAGCAGCAGCAGCACCAGCACCAGCAGCACCAGCAGCAGCACCAGCACTTCCTTACCCAGCCTCCGCCCCTGGACCTCTGGCAGTCAACACTATCCGGTTCCAACTTCCCTCAGAACACAACCATGGGACAGGGTGGTATGGGAGTGGATAGGAGCGCCGGTGGAGGGGACAGGAGCGGGCTGGGCATGGGGCAGGCTAGATTGGGGGTGGGGCCAGGTGGGGTGGGACCAGGTGGGGTAGGGGCATCTGGGGTGGGGCCGGGTGGGGAGGTGCGGGAGTCGAGGCACGCACGGCTGGGGTTTGCGCTGCTGCCGGCAGCAGAGGGAGAGCAGCACACTGGGGGGTGGGCTGGCCATGACAAGCGCAGCTTCCTTGGGCAGGTGAGATTTGTGGGCAGGTGAGATTTGTGGGCAGGTGAGATTTATGGGCAGATAAATTTGCGGGCACTAGAAATTCTGTGGGTGGGTTATCTTCTTTGGCATGTGAACTTCGAAGGGTACGCATCACGAGTTGTGTTCCTAGTACCGGTGTGGTAATTCTTTTCTGTTCTGTTCTTCTCTACCTTTCTGTGCTCAGGGCATAAACGGCACACCTTGGTGAATCTTGGGCAGGGTGATTTGTGTCTTGGGAATGCAAAGCTGTTTTAGTTGCAGATGCATGGTGTTTGGTTTTGTGTTGAGTATCTAGGCGTTCTGAAATGTTGTGTGGAGTTTATTTGTTCTGGGAGGAATTGAGTCATTCTGTGAGGAATCCTTGTATGAGGAGTTCTCAATGGATAGAAGCTTGTAAATGGGTTGGTTTGCACAATGTAGATACGGTAGGTAGAGTTGTGATTTGGGCCTCTTAAGAAGTTTATATTGTGACACGTGACTTCGAAAACCTTATTAAGGTGAGAAGGTACGATAGTTGCGATTTTGGCCTCTTAAGTGTTGGGCTGAAATGCCCTAGGATCTTTGAAGAGTTTAAGTCTGAGTAGAATTGTAGTAGCGGAAGCGTTTGAATTAAAATACTTGAACCACCTTGCGCTAGTATGTGAGGGCAAAGTAAGTTGATTAAACAAACAAATACAAAGGTTTATATAAGAGTACAAGGAATACGAATAGAGAAGTTAAAACCGTTTTACTGTTGCGATTCGATACAGTGCGACTCGGGCAACTGCTCAATGTCGAGTCAGTTGTGTGTCCTTGCTGTCGCGCTGTATTTGTCAAGTCAAAGGTCGCTGACCTTTGACCTTCTCGTAACCTCCAGGCGGTTACCCTAACCTCCGAGGGTTGACTCGCGATGCTTCGATTCGGACTGCTTCGCTAGTGTCCTGAGTTTCGACACGACAGAGGCGCTTAAGACTTATTATTCCCAACACTCCCCTTCGCTTCTGGAGTGTCGCTGATAGTGACGTGGCCTTGTCCGGTCAGCATCATGCAGTACTCGAACTTCTGTTTTCCGAGTTTCTTGGTCAAATAATCGGCTGCCATCTCGGACGTGGGACAGTAGGATAATTCGAGTTTCCCTTTCTCGATCTCGTCCTTCACGAAGAAGTATCGCAGAGCGATATGCTTCGTTCTGTTCGCGAATCCGTTTTTGTTGGCGATGCGAATTGCAGATTGGTTGTCGCAGAACAGGGTGAGGTTGGGTAACTCGGCTAACCTTCCTTCTTCCAGCAGCTCGCGAAGGTAGAGTCCTTCCTTGGTGGTTGAACAGAGGGCGATATATTCTGCTTCAGCTGAAGAGAGAGCGATTAGTTCCTGCTTACTCGACTGCCAGGAGATAGGTCCGATAGGCTCGAGACGATAGACGTAGCCAGTGCGAGAGCGCCTGTTATCAGAATCGCCGGCATGGTCAGCATCGACGTAGCCGATTAGTTTCGTCGTCGTAGCTTCGCCTTTGTAGTAAGTCAGGCCGATCATCGGTGTGCTCACGAAGTAGTGTAGTGCGCGATCGAGCTCCGCCATATGCTTTGCTTCGGATTTCTTGAGATAGGTGGCGAGTTGGCTTGTGGAGTAGGATAGATCCGGGCGACAGGTGACAGCTGCGAAGAGAAGGCAGCCCAGTTTCCTTTGGTAGTCTCGTATTCCGGCAGCTTTGAGTGGAGCGGAATTTCCCTTGTCGTTTCCTGCCGTGTAGCGGTATGGTGTGGCGATGGCGGTAGGTGTGAGTGAAAAACGTTTGGCGATGGTGTCGGCGTATTTCTCGGCGCTTAGGTAGATCGCATTTTCTTCTTCGCGGATGTTGAGCCGGAGGTACTGGGTCACGGTAGAAGAGACCGTGAGCGTGAGGTCTTTCCGCAGCTCCCCTTCGAACCAGGTGGTGACGTCGTCGGTGGAGCCGATGTAGAGCAAGTCGTCGACATAGACGATCAGTAGAATGTAGTGTGCGCCTTTGTTGAGGCGGTACATTCCTTGGTCGTGAGGTAGTTGGCGGAATCCGATGCGAGTGAGGCGGGTGTGTAGGTGCTGTTGCCACAGTCGCGGGGCTTGTTTGATTCCGTAGAGCGATTTCAGTAGTTGGCAGATCTGATTAGGATTTCCGTGAGTGCCGTGTGGGAGTTCGACGAAGATTTCGGCGTCGACGGGTGCGTAGAGGAATGCGTTGGCAACATCGATTTGTCGCAGCTTCTTCTTCTTCATGGCGGCGACGGCGAGAAGGATTCGGAGAGAGGTATTTCGACTGACTGGGGCGAATGTTTCGGTGAAGTCTCGTCCTTGCTCCTGGTCGAATCCACGCACGACCCAGCGTGCTTTGAACTTCTCGATTGTGCCGTCAGCTTTCGTCTTGATGCGGAAGACCCATTTCCCGGTGAGAATGGTCTTGTTCCGTGCCACGCTTGCGGGAACGACCTTCCAGGTGTTGCGTTCCTCTAATGCTTTTAATTCCCTGTCCATGGCTTCACGCCATTTCTCCCTGTGTTCCCCCCCCAGAGCCTGCTGAACCGTCGTAGGCTCTTTAGGAAGCGTGCTGCCTATGTTCCCGTGGACTGCGGTGACGAGACCAAGGATTTGCAGCCCAGTCTGTGAGTATTGGGGGAGTGTTGTATCATCGGAATAAGCTGCTTCGTCTCCTGCTTCTGGATCGGGTATGAAATTTGGCCCTATCCTTTCTGCTTCATTTGTGTTGACTGTCGCATGTGTTACGTAACCGTTGTCGGCGAAGTGATAGAAGACTTCGGCGTTGTTACTGTCGCGAGGATTTTCTTCGTCCATGGGCACGTCGACGGAGCAGTACGGGAGAGGTCCGGCTTCTTCCGATGCGTTGTCGACGTTCTGTTCATCCCAGTCTGCTTCGTCCGCTGCTGAGGCGAAGGCTCGGTCACCACGAAAGCCACCTGTGAGGTCCCGATTCTTGTGCAAGTTGGCGAGGTACGTCTGAAGGGTGAGTCGCTCGTAGAAGATCACATCACGTGCTGCTACTGTTTCCTTTGTGTGGACGTCAAAGATTATCCACGCGTTGTAATTTTTCTCGATGCCGAGGTGTAGTCCCCACTGTGCCCGTTGTGAAAATCTTCCCGCTCGTGCTTCTGGGGGTCTGTACTGTACCATGCATCCGAAAACTCGTACCATTGTTGTGCTGCCCAGCTTCCCTGTCCACAGCAGATGCGGTGAGGCGTTGTTCGGGAGTGACGACGACGACAACAAGTTGTGCAGCATGACAGCATGGTCCATTGCTGCAGGCCACTGGTGGTTGGGTAGCCGCATGCCACGTAGCAGTTTGCGCATGCTGTTCTGCAGAGTCCTGTTCATTCTTTCTGCTACTCCTTGCTGCTGATGTGCGTAGGGAAGGGAGAGGAGTTGCTTGATCCCTCTTTCCGCCAGGTACTGCTTGAAGCGCTGAGAGGTGTACTCTCCTCCTCCGTCTGACTGGAAGCTTTTCAGTTGTGTTCCTGATTCCCTCTCTGCTACCGGTAGCCAAGCGGCGAATGCTGCGAGTGCCATGTCGCGGCTGGGTAGGTTGCGATGCCAGACGTATCAAGTGGCGGCGTCGATGAAGGTGATCGTGTGATTGTAGGTGACTTGTCCTGGTTCTCGATTGTAGAGGATGTCGCTGCAAACTTTCTCGAGTGGTGCGTATGCAGGTGCACTCGGGTTGTGGTGAGAGGAAAACGGTCGATGGGGTAAGTCGGCTTCGGGGCAGATGAGGCAAGTCCCTCGTGCACGTTGAAGTTCTCTGCCGTCGAGTAGTAGTAACGAATCCTTGTCTAGAACTCCTGCTCGTATCGTGTTGTTTAACACCGTATTGCTTGGATGTCCTGTGCGTGCGTGCCAGATGCCTTCAGGAGCGCGATGTCCGGGTGAGCGTTGATACGCGTCAGAGTTGGAGTAGAAGTTGGCGACGATGTTTGCGCTTCGGTGGACTTCTCGTTGAGTCGGGTTCAGCTGTTGTGCGGGTGTTGGTGGTGTTGGTGGTGTTTCGATGACTAGTGTCGTTGGTCCTGCTGCTTCCGATGATGGTTTTGCTGTTGCCAATGTTGTCTCTGCTGCTGTCGATGTTGTCTCTGCTGCTGTCGTTTGTTGAATCGTTGCTAATGCTCGTGTTCGTCCTGCTTCAGGGATGGTGTGCGAGTACCAGAAACCTCCTGGGCTGAGGTCGGGATCGAGATCCGGAGGGTGAGTCCAGTCGGTGAAGTTGACGATGGCGTCGCTGTCTGCAGTGCCCAGGTCGGGGACGAAATCGAGGACGAAGACGTTATTCTTCAACACTGCTTTTCCGATGTAGAGGCCGCCCTTCCCGTGGTATAACTTAAACTCCTGGGTGATGCTGTCGGCTTCCAAGTGGATGCCTTTCGCCATCAACTGGCTGACACTCAGTAAGCTGTAGCCTAGTCCCTCCGCGATAAGTACCTTTGACATGTGTAATATGACATTTGTTTCTCGTGACTGAAGCTGTACCGCTCCTTGTCGTCGTGTGCGCAGGTTCTGATTGTTGGCGACCATGATGACTACTTCTCGTTGGAGTCGATGTTCGCGTTGAACGAAGCGCCCGGAGGAGCACATGTGTTGTCCGCAGCAACTATCCAAGAACCAAGTGTCTTGGCCAGATGGTTCGCTTTGAGCGATGGCGGCGTACGTCGGATTCGGCTGGAGTGATTCGCGGCGAGGCGTCCTGTTGTCGAGCTCTTCTTCCGGTGAGTAGTGGGGTGGTGACTTGGTTGTGCACGAATCGGTTATCTTCACCATGCAATTGACGATGCTTCTTGTTCCTTGTGCAGGTTGTTCAGTTGAAGTCGTTGAAGCTTGGATTGTGGTCGTCGGACTTGCTTGCGTTGAAGCAACTTGGGAGCTTGAAGGCCGGAGTTGTCGCTGTGGTGTTGTCTGACAAGACGGGCAGTGCGTGCGAGGATGGCCCGAAGTTTTGCAGATGTGGCAGAACGGAGGTACTGTCTTTACTTGTTGTTGACGGTTGTTGTTGCCGTTGTATCGTCGCTGAGTGTGAAACGCAAACTCTGGTGCTAATGCTTTCTTCTTGTGTCTTTCTTCTTACAGGTCCATGTCTTGCTGCTTAGCATGAATTTCGGCGCAGAGTGCCGCTTCGGAAATTCTCCCGTGTGCTCGTAATATGGCGCGAGTGGAGCGTCAGTGGGGGCCGAGACCG